GTTAGTAAAATTTTATATGAAAAACACCTTGTATAAAATATGTACACCGGAATCGTGGAGACCCGGGCTAAGTAAGTAAGTAAAGGCTTTATTTATCGAGGCTACACATTTGGTTTCCCAATCTTCCATATGGGCCTCTAATAAAAACATAATTTACAATATATACAACTACAATATTACAAAAATAATTGTTAAATATTTACAGTCCATTCATAGCATAATACATGTCAAAGAAGTACATATCAAATTAAAAGAAGTGGGAAATACGTTTTAAGTGGTACATCAAATGATTGGATTCTAATTTTGTTATAAAATGATTAATTTAATGATGAGAAATGCCAGGATAGATATGGAAGCTTGAAATTCCTGAACTGTTTTAGATTTTTTTATGTTGAGAGGGATATTATTCCATAATTTAGGGCCAGAGTATACTAGGGATTTTCTGAAAAATTCTTTCTTAGGTCGTGGAACAGCTAGGTCTGAACTAATTGTAGATCTTAAGTTGCGCTCATGTTTTTGGTGTACAAATTGGAATTTACTTTGCATGTATTGTGGATATGGTAGGTTATTGATAGATTTAAATATTATGATTGCTTTTTTGTATTTCATTCTTTCATCAAATCTCATCCAATTTAGTTCTTTAAACAAATCACTGGAGGGTGCATCATAACTTTTATCTAGAATTATTCTTGCTGCTCTTTTTGGAAATTTTATGATATCATTGATCAGATCATTGCTGCAATTGCCCCAGATATGACCTAAACAGGCTGGTGAAAATGCCCGATCGGGTTTATGTCATAAATTAAAAAAATCATATTTCTAGAAAAGAAGTTAAGATATTTCTTTTAATCTTTGTCAGTTTATTGAGAATAATATTTGACATAAACAGAAAGAAAAATATTTGGCTACTGTCACTTTGGTGAGAATTATTTCCCCTTTTTCGTGTTTTAATAACACATAATTTTTGAAGTCCTTAAAAAGTATGTTACGCATGCAAAGTGTAAAACAAATAAGTTAAATAACTTCTTTATGCTGTAATTCATTGCGCCAACACCTGTCAGCATACATTTCATTCAGTTTTCAGAGAAAACTTCAAAATAGAGGAAAACAGAATCCCAAAAGAAAGTCCACCACAACAAAATTGAAAATGTTGCTGGCTCGGTTTGATTGAGCCTGTTCATGGAAGGTACTGGAAAGTGCAAGTTACCGTCCACACCCCCTGGCACTGGCTTAAGCAGAATTCAAAATTTAACACGAAAATGGTGAAATTTTGAATTAAGAAACATCCGCAGATGTTTTCATACGGCGGTTATCATAGAACCTTCAATGTGACAGTAGTGCCATTCCATGAAAAGCGACGTATGGTCCCCAAGTAAAAGAATGCTTATGCCCTAAACGAGAAAACAATGGGTGAAACTAAAGTATAATGTTCAGTGTTAAAGAATTATCAAAATATAAGTGCCAGAAACAGAATATTTAATTTATGTAATAAAGGTACTGGCGCAATAATCTAGAGCAAAATGAAGTTGTTGGAAACATTTCTATTTAGAATTTTACATTACAATATCATTTTTATGACCTTCAAATATTTTGTGTCTAGAAAATGGGAAAAAAGGGAAATAATTCTTGGAAAATTAACGATAACAGAAGTATTTTTATTTTGATTTGTATCATATATCAATGCTTAATAAACAAAACAAGTGAGATAGAAACATATTAATTATTTTTCTAGAAATATGATATTCTATGTCTTAAGTCCAATTGGGCATTCTCACCAGCCTGCTTAAATATGTTTAATCTTGTTTTGTTATTCATGTAATATGATATCAATATAAAATATGAAAAAGGCAAAGCCTCAAAGCCAGCTCGATTTTCTTTAACTGTGAAATAGTATAAAATAGTTGTTCATTTTTAGCTCGACTTTTCTATGAAAAGGGGAGCTATCCTACTCGCCCCGGCGTATTGAGCTTGGTTAAGTTTTTTGTACCACCTCACTTTATTTCAAAACCATTGGAGGTATTGCTTTGAAACTGACCATACTTGTTTACCATCACGACCTTCATCAACAGACAAGAGGACATAACTCTGTCAAGGTTTTTGACAGAATTATGCCCCTTTTTGACTTAGAAAATACATTGAATATGGGTAAAATCCACTTATTGCCTTAACCCTTTGAGATATTGCTTTGAAACTTTTAATGCTATTTCACATCATTACCCCCATCTGTACGCAAGAGAAGGTAACTCTGTCAAGGATTTGTTTTAAAAATTAAGGCCTTTTATCGACTTAGAATCTTGGTTAAGTTTTTAGTACCAGTCCACTTTTTGACTGAACTGTTTGAGATATTAATTTGAAAGTTGGAATACTTGTTTACAATCATGATTCCCAAACATGTCCAGGAGAAGGTAATTCTGTCAAAGATTTTATTTGAATTATGGCCCTTAACTGTCAATGTTTTGACTTAAACATTTCAAACTTTGCTGCAGTGTTCAAGGGTATCACACAATTCAGTAAAATAATTCTTCACTAAATATCTTAATGCTCATGGCCATTGTTCACTTTAAAAATACAGAGATTCTTGTATTGCCTTTTACTGCAAAAACTTTTTTTATTGGCAAGCAATAAAAAAGTCGAGCGCGCTGTCTTACGGACAGCTCTTGTTATTTTACATTTTCCGTTTTAAAATTGTCATTCGGTATTTTATACACTGCTTCAGTTTATTCTGGTTCCCTGACCTATTATGGTTTCCATTAGGGTCTTTCAAATAGAATATTTTTTGATTGATACATCAAAACATTAGCTTTAATTTTATTTTTGAAGGGTATTGTAATGCACCAGATCATGGTCGGTGGATAACCTAATCACGTGACCCAGCCGAGACAACTTTTTTCATAAAATTGGTCGGACTCCAGACCATTCTAATTGAAAGATACTGTTCCCATATAAGTGCGCAGGACACAACTCTAAGCTTCCGTTTTCAATCAGAATACCTCAGCTTTTATCGTTCTCTTGTAATTCGAAAAGTTGCGATGTGTCAGTTCGGTACTTCGGACCAAAGTTTGCAAAACCATCACTATCTAGCAGGTACTTGCGTTACCGTAAAGCTCGCTTTGCGAGCAGGCCCTTCGGGTCAGCTCTTCGAGCTCACTATTAAAAAAAATTTGAAATAGAAATTTTTTTTTTTATTTTTGTTATATTGTTATAGACAAGATATGCAACATCTGAGTACGAAAATTATGGGTATGTCTGTTCCTGGTGTCAAAATTTTCCACCCGGTGGTTATATCGTCTGATTTTAGCATGGAATCAATGCAATATATATTTTTCTATCAACACTATGAACAGATCCTTAATTGCACGCAAACTGCCGCAGGAAAACCCGAAAGTCAGAAATCACCCAGGTTTGAAAGATGAGACAGTCGTGTCATGTACATTGTAGCATAGTATTTATGCTTGAAATACATCAACAAAGAGATCAAATGAGTCAAACACACATGCAAACATAAAAAAAATCTTTTGGGTAGGGGCAAATTTATTGGGTAGGTAGGGGAAACAAATTAAATTTTATTTTAGGCCTGAGTTGACCCAGATTTGTTGGAATACCTTGCTGATTATCTTTGAGTTAAATATTATATCTTTGGGATCGAAATACTCTTGACTCTCCACATACTTTTATTGGAAGTGCAATTATGTTATAAGACTGTGGCATCTTTCCGCAACATTCAGAAATGTATTGAAACTTTAGTGTATATTTAAAATATTATGACAATCACATAATACGGTTTTAGTAGTTTAACATTTTCTTATTTACCTGTTGCAAAGTAATACAGAATGGGTAAAATTTAAAATTGTTTTGATATTCGTATTTTTGTGAATCAAATTTTGAATATTGAAATAAAATTATTCAATAATCTGCTTTGTTAGTTCGAATTAATTTTATAAAATACGCAATTGATTTTTTTAAAAAGGGTATCAAAACCCATTTAAATAAATAAAATACGCAATTGTCTTCAAAACCCACGCGTATTGTCATTTTCATCACCACAAAATTAACCTGTCATACGCTGGTAGTTTTGGACAAATTATATGGATAAGCATCCTATCCGAATATCTCCAAATCAAATGCTAACTAATTGACGGTCTCCGGTCTTTGAAGGTCCCCGGTTTCCAAAGACCAGCGAAGCCATATCAATAAAGCAAGAGACCGTCGATCAGGTTGACGGTCTTTACAGACCGGCAGAGACTGTTGATCAGGTTGACAGTCTTTACAGACCGGCAGAGACTGTTGTTTTTGCGGGGACGGTCAATAAGTAGGTCCCAGCTGTATGCAATATGGCATCGTACAAAGGGACGAAAGAAAAAAAAATTGAATACCCAATTGACTTTAAAATCATAGGGTATGGAGTTTTGGAATACCCAATTAAATGGAGCTAATACCCAATTCCAAAGGAAATGATGGAGTAATACCCAATTTACATTCAAAGCTTATCTGTTGCTCTGACAATTAAGGATATTGGTGATATATTGATTAGAAACAATATTGATGTATTGTCAGTATTTTTCTGTCAACAACAGATTGACAACCTTGGAAATATTGATAATTTTGACTAAATAATTAAAAGTCTTAAAATTATGAAAATTCACCCAAAACATAATACAGAAACAGGTGTCCATGTGTAAAACCATGCCGTTGTTATGTGATGGACATATATGTATGTATTTCATAGTTGTGATCAGAAAAAAAATATCATGCAATTGACATATAAAAACAAGACAAAACAAATGTATAAACAAAACATCATTTTAACAGATATGAAAGTGAATTCTAGGCAATCATCAATTTGTTGGTGTATCATTGATATTTGCTATTTGATATCAATGTCGATGGTCTATATGCTTTGCGCTGAATGAAAGACAGCTCTAATATTGATAAACAATTGTATTTAATGATAGTCTTAGTTATGCAGATTGCAGAATAAATGAGACATGTTTTATTTTCAGACTGCTAAAAAAACTGTGACCGTAACTGGAAGTATAAGTGGTTTGAAGCCAGGTCAACATGGATTCCACGTACATGCATTTGGTGATAACTCAGATGGTAATTTTTTTATTTCTTGTATAATATGTATAAAGGGAATTTGTTTTGAATGACATACAGTCAAACATGTGCTAAAGAGTAGAACATTTTAGAGGTCATGTCACAGCTCAAAGTTCAAACTAGCAATATTGATCTGATTTATTTGTTTTGACCTGCTTGAAGGATACTGATAATACCTACTTCAAATGTATCTCTAATTGAGATATTATGCTAAACTCGGGTGCTAGATGCTCAGTTTTATGGTTGAGATCACAGAAAAGTTAAAATCAGCAAATGTTCATCTCATTGAAAGCTGGCCTTGACAAATCCACTTGCTCGCTAGCATTTGCCCGACAGGGCGAGTGAGATTCTCCTGATCCAATGATGTTTCTCTAAAGATTTAATGTAAATGAATTTTTCCGGTAAAAAAGATCAAACTGCAGATGGCATTTCAATCGTAATACTGTCAAATGAAAACTGGAAATTGACCTTATGACTAGGAATAAAACTTGACCAAACGTGAATGGTGAATCAATTCCATAATGACAGCAGCACTTGAAAATGTTCTATGCATACACGTTCGGTAATGTTTTATACTTGATAAAGAGGTCGATTTTTTAGCAGAGTACACGCATGCGTTAAAATAAGTATTCAAGTTATGTTGAAGATTTTAGAGATCTATCAAAAGAATGAAAAGTATTATAATCATTATTAAACAATATGTAAATAAAGGCAATTATATCAATATAGACCCGGTAAATAGCAAATTTGAGTTTTATGTTTGAGTTTTACAAATTTTGTCCATCAAATTGCAGGGCGAGTACATTTTATGAAGGGTCACTCGCCCAACCAGCAGGGCGAGTGACCCTTGAAAAATTCATCGAGGACTTGAAAGGATGTGCAAAATCTGCATCAGACACTAGTTTAAGATCAAGGTTACAATTTAAGGACAGCTGTTGGTGCAAGAAAATTTCAATTTTCTTTTGAGTTTTGGAACTGCTTGAAGATGATTCTAGATTAAAATGTTTACCGGGTATGCCTTTACCACAGTATGCAAGTCCCACATACCAAAGTCTCTTGCTATTATTGAATTATATTGGATAGCTTATATTTTAGATGAATGGTTGTTCTATCAGTGTCATTTCATGTCTTAACTACTACATCAGTGCTATCAAGGATCAGTTGGGTCATTTTGGTTGGGTTCAATATATTAAAATTGATAAACAGCAATATTAGATTGCAATGGGTGCAATAAGAACTCACTTAGAAGAGCCTGGCAAGAATATAGGTTTTTGTTTATGCTTAAACACAGCACATTTTCAGCTAAATATGATAAAAATAATGTTTATGCCATTGATTCTCAAGTAATACAGTGATTAATGAAGATTAAGATGCATTGGAATATCAGGTTATGATATTATAGTATGTGTTTCAGTTCACCATTGTATAGTGTTATTGTACTTAATTTTTAAAAATATCAAGGGTAAATTAACAGCTATTATTTTCTACAATATACTAGTTCTGTTGTTCTTTTATATATTTTCCATTCAAATATATATATACATAAATGTTAATGATTTAAAATGTAAATATTTTTGTCCATTCATTGATTCAGGTTGTACAAGTGCAGGTCCTCACTATAACCCAGATAATGTTGATCATGCTGGACCTACTGATGAAAAGAGGTAATATATTGTTGCATCCCATTCGGATGAGTTAACTGTTGTTGACTGTTATATGTTCTGTTTGACTTAGAAAGACGGACAGACGCAAATCAGACGACACACTTATGGATATAATGTTAATATGATACTATAAGTGAACATAAGAACATTCAAGTTCAACTAAATTTTTATTATGTAAGTGCTTAAAAAATCAACCTTGCCAATTCTGTAAAATCTGACAACACGAATTTTCGAATTTCAATATACGATTGTGCTTACAAAAATTAAGATATGATTCAGATAAGTGCTGGCGCTTGTGTAACTTACAATAAATAAACCAGTAATAAATAAAGGGAGAAACAGGAAAAATTTTCATTTCTTCAATTTGAATTTTTCTACCCATATTCTATAAATGTCCTCGAAATGAATACACTAAGCAGTCACAGGAACAAAATCTTTCTCCTTATAAAGAATATAAGAATCTTACATTGGCTGCTGTTACAGACTGGAATATCTAGCTTGAGGGTAACTGTTTACGGTGGTTACGAGGCTCTGCAGAGTTTTCGCTAAGCAGTTACCCGAAAGCTAGATATTCCTGTCTCTGACGACAGCCGGTGTTTGATTCTTTTTCTTGCATATTACAAATTTATGATATAATGAAAAGAAATTACAAAACAATTTTGAGCTATTGCTTCATTCAGCATGTTGTTCCTGTTGTCGTCAACAAACTTCAACATTAATCATATTCTTTTTATTTATAACTGTATTATCTTCATACTTGGATTCAACAATTCTTTGGACAAGACCTGCCAGTCCCTGATATTGATTTCAACACATAATTGACCTTTACCTTGAAGGTCAAATTATTGGATATAGCTCGATTTTTGCTGTAATTTGTTTTGATTTGTAATCAGAGAATGTCTTCATGCTTGTCTTCATACTTGAATACAACTACCTTTAGCACAAGATTTTCAAGAAAATCAAATTTGACTTTTAACTGATCTTGACTTTTAAATCCGGCTTAAATTGTCATAATTTTGTTATTTATTGACATACACTGTACTTGATTCATACTAGAAATAAACAATACTATGACAACATTGACATGTTGAATAATAGATAATCTTTAAATGACCTGGTCAAATACAAAATTATAATTAAATTTTGTAAAAGAAAATGTTTTCTAAAAAAAAATCTTAGAGAACCTCTGATTACAATGTTCTTCATCTTAGAAATAAGATAAAGTTGAGCATATGCCCCGCTTGGCAGTGGCTGTTGTTCAGTTTGTTACAATTTCAGCCACTCATTTTTAAAAGATTTTAAAAAAGTTCTAACATGGTCAAAATTCTTCTGAACTGCTATAGATACGAGAGCTATTTTATCTTTTGATAAACATTTTAGTTTATTGGCTAGTTTTCCCGACAGGGACTTTGGATTCTTTCATGTGAGGAAGCTATCCATCTAGCTTATGGAATGTCAGTGGTTCTACTCAGGTGCCTGTTCATGCCTGAAATAATGCACGAAAAGGCACCTGAGGTCTTCCTCCACCAGTAAAGCTGGAATGTCGCCAAATGACCTATACTGTGTTGGTGTTACCTAAAACCCAATCAAACAACAACAAAAAATATATATATATTGACTAGTTTATTGACTGGTTTCAGATAAGAGAGCTATTTAATCTTTTGATAAACACTTTAGTTGATTGACTAGTTTATTGGTTGATTTCAGACATGTTGGTGATTTAGGTAATGTGACAGCTGATGAGAATGGATGTTGTAATGTAAACATTACAGACAGTGTGATCAGTCTTACAGGGGAAAGATCTATCATTGGTAGAACACTTGTCGTATGTATTATTACTTTATGTCATTTTCCAAAAGAACATTTCCATATCGGTATATTATCCTATTTAGTTCCATGTTTACATGTATTATATTTCAAGGCTTTTTAAAACTCAAAGCAAAGCGTATAAAAAAAATTCTCCTAGCAATTGTGAGTTCAAATCCAACAAGGGAATTTGGACTACTTATTTCGAAGTAGCTATTTAGATAGATTTATATGGAAGGTTGCTGGTTCTACTTCAAAATTCTTCAATGTAAAATACAATAAGAGCATGCATGGAGAGGAAATTGAATTGAATAATTGCTATATGACCATAACAATGACATGTCACTCATCTCAAGAAATGTTTGCTTAGTAACATAACATAACGGTTTAATACAGGTATGATTATGACATAACATTGTATTTGTTGATTGTTGAACATGTTATAGTCATGATGAACTATTAAGTAAGAGGCTGCTTATTCTTTGCATACTATATGAAAATTTATAAACCAAGAAAGATTTGTTCTGACTTTAGTGTGACTACACAGAAAATTGTAAGAGCAAATTATCAGGAAATGCTTCGTTGTTTCAGCCTTGAATGATAAATTTACTTGTGTTTTCATAATCATAGTGAAGTTTCTATAGCTGAAATAGACTGTTCAAACTTTTTAACTATGTAAATTGCAGAAAATTGTCAAGCTTGCATTTGGGATTTTGGTTAACACTCTTATGCTGATAAATTTCTATTTTAAACTTTTTAGCTCGACTATTCGATAAGAATAAGTAGAGCTATTGTAGTCATCCGAGCGTCGGCGTAACCACTTATGTTAACGTTTTTGTAATAGTTCAAATATTTTCAAAGTCCATTGACATATGGCTTTGAAACTTTGCACACTTGTTCACCATCATGACCCCAACCTGTAGACAGGAGGAGGTAACTCTATCAAGCATTTTGACAGAATTATGCCCCTTTTTCGACTTAGAATTTACGTTAAAGTTTTTGTAATAGTTCAAATATTTTCAAAGTCCATTGACATATGGCTTTGAAACTTTGCACACTTGTTCACCATCATGACCCCAACCTGTAGACAGGAGGAGGTAACTCTATCAAGCATTTTCACAGAATTATGCCCCTTTTTGACTTAGAATTTACGTTAAAGCTTTTGTATTAGTTCAAATATTTTCAAAGTCCATTGACATATGGCTTTGAAACTTTGCACACTTGTTCACCATCATGACCTCAACCTGTAGACAGGAGGAGGTAACTCTATCAAGCATTTTGACAGAATTATGCCCCTTTTTAGCTCGACTATTCGATAAGAATAAGTAGAGCTATTGTAGTCACCCGAGCGTCGGCGTAACCACTTATGTTAAAGTTTTTGTAATAGTTCAAATATTTTCAAAGTCCATTGACATATGGCTTTGAAACTTTGCACACTTGTTCATCATCATGACCCCAACCTGTAGACAGAAGGAGGTAACTCTATCAAGCATTTTGACAGAATTATGCCCCTTTTTCGACTTAGAATTTACGTTAAAGTTTTTGTAATAGTTCAAATATTTTCAAAGTCAATTGACATATGGCTTTGAAACTTTGCACACTTGTTCACCATCATGACCCCAACCTGTAGACAGAAGGAGGTAACTCTATCAAGCATTTTTTTTACTATCAAGCACTAAGAATAGTCGAGCGTTGCTGTCCTACCGACAGCTCTTGTTCGACTTAGAATTTACGTTAAAGTTTTTGTAATAGTTCAAATATTTTCAAAGTCCATTGACATATGGCTTTGAAACTTTGCACACTTGTTCACCATCATGACCCCAACCTGTAAACAGGAAGAGGTAACTGTATCAAGCATTTCTTTTTACTATCAAGCACTAAGAATAGTCGAGCATTGCTGTCCTACCGACAGCTCTTGTTATCCCTCTTGATATTATCATTATCTGCTATTTTCTTATAACTTTAAACATGTGATGATTATTTAAAGAAACATTCACAGACTGTTTCATTGTGAAAGTAGTTCATTATTTGAGCTACTTTTGTCTGGTAAAGGTTAAACCTGTTACTTTGATTTAGATAATTAAGAACAAAATGAAGGTCATTCAAAAGGCTTGAAAGTGATGAATATCCCAAATACATTTTAACTTGTATCCATGATAATAAAAGGCTGAGTGTTAATGTAGTAAAAGTTCACTGAACATTTTGGTAAGCAATATAATCAAACAATCAATTTATCTTTAGGTTCACGCTGATGTTGATGATCTTGGTAAAGGTGGTCACGAGTTGTCAAAGACGACTGGAAATGCTGGAGGAAGACTAGCATGTGGTGTTATTGGAATTGCCAAGGAATAAATGACACTATGTCAGGGATAGCATACAGACAATGCAAATTTCAAGTGCTTATATTGATACACCTTTTGAAGTTTTAATATATGTACTATAATCTATTCCATCACAAAATTAAGAATTCCTTTGCCTTTGTATTATGTATGAGAATGATTTAGAATGATTTTGATCAAAGCTTCTTAAAGCGATAATCTTAAATTCTGAGAAAATTAGTAAAATTATTATAGTTCCTTCCAAATTTTAAGTATTCTCGTACCTATATGTGTTAAAATTGCTAGAAAAATATTGCTACTGTTATCAGAATAAGAAGAAAATAAATACATTTTCTATCACAGTGTGATTGGTTATTGAATTGTTACAGAATACATGTTAGAAATATGTAAAATATTGTAATGTAAACATGTTGTTATATTTTTGTATTTCATTGTATATCAATGTTAAAGTACCAAATAATAAATGAATATGTTTCTGAAGATATCTAGTTTCTACAAAAAAAATATATATATAAATAAAAATGTAGGTATTTAAAATTACAAGTAACATTTTTAAATGCAGAGTTCATTTATGTACATTATTCTGAGAATAAAAATATTATTGATATCAAAAGAAGAAAACAGAAAATATATTTTAACAATATTCATTATGTTCTATGGAAAAAAAAATCTATGAAAAAATTCTTAATTGTTGTTTGTGTTCAATGACGTGTATTTTGATATCCAAGTCAGGCTATTATATATATGGCAGCTGTCTTCTCCAGAGATATTCCAATGACCTCCCCCGTAAATGTATCAAAAATATCAATTATAATCAGTTAAATGAGCGACTGTATGATGGAAACTATGTATATATATTTAATTATGGTGTATGTTTGATTAAATCATTGAGTGATGTTCTTGATTTCTTTGCTGTAATTATGGAATGTGATTTTGTATTTGTGCACTAATTATGTATCTGTTATCAAAATAGATTAGTCAGAAGTACTGCTAACAAGTTTTATTTTTATTTTTTTTCTCCCTATGTTATTAATGTTATGCTACACCAAATGAGTTATACCCAAGAGTTATTGTGGCTAATATAATATAGTTGTTTCTCTGTCATTCTGCATGGGAAATTATGAGTATACACTTAACATCAGGATTACATGCATCAGTATTTTGGTAATTTCTCAATATCTTAATTAGTGTCATTTTCCAGTTTCTGAATTCTTGCACTGACTGGGCTTTTAATGAATAGCGCAATATTGATAATTCATTGATTCACAATTTAGAACATTTATACAATTTAAAACCCATTTCTTCATGTGTTGTGAAAATATCGTTCTACTTTGTGTAAATGAAAAAGTCCACTCTGCTATTTAATGTTCATAGGTCTGTAAGATACAAATTGTATGATAACAAGAACAGAAGTTTTTTTATATCCCCCGCCGAAAAGGCGGTGGGGGATATAGAAATAGTCTCCGTCAGTCCTTCTGTCCGACATTTTTGTCCGGAGCATATCTCTAAAAGTATTTGAGTAATCAACTTATTAAGGAGGAATGTTGTGCACAAGAAAGATAACTCTTCCCTATTCAATTTTTGAGTTATTGCCCTTTAGTCTTTTTCATGCTATTTTGTCCAGAGCTTATCTCAAAAAGTATTTGAGATATCAACTTGAAACTTCATAGGTGGATGGATCTCATTGAGGAGGAGTGCAATGCACAAGAATGATTACTCTACCCTGCATAATTTTTGAGTTATTGCCCTTTGTTATTTTTCAAAATTAATTTATGTCCAGAGCATAACTCAAAAAGCCTTTGAGATATCATTATGAAACTTCAGAGGTGCATAGATCTCACACAGGAGGTGTGCAGTGCACAAGAAAGATAACTACCTTTCATAATTTTAGAGTTATTGCCCTTTGTTATTTTTCATACCTAATTTTTCACCCGAGTGGAGCGTAACTCAAAAGTGTTTGAGATGTCAACATGAAATGTCATAGGTGGATAGATTTTATTGAGGAGGAATACTGTGCACAAGAATGATAACTCTTCCCTGTACAATTTTTAAGTTATTGCCCTTTGTTCTTTTTCATACTATTTTGTCCGGAGCTTATCTCAAAAAGTATTTGAGGTATCAACTTGAAACTTCATAATTGGATGGATTTCATTGAGGAAGAGTGCAGTGCACAAAAATGATAACTCTACCCTGCATAATTGTTTAGTTATTGACCTTTTTTTATTTTTCAAAATTAATTTTTGTCCAGAGCATAACTTAAAAGGCCTTTGAGATATCATTATGAAACTTCATAGGTGCATAAATCTAACTCAGGAGGTGTGCAGTGCACAAGAATGATAACTCTACCTTTTATAATTTTTGAGTTATTGCCCTTTTTTATTTTTTAGCTCACCTGTCACAAAGTGACAGGGTTAGCTTTTGTGATCGCTTTTCGTCCGGCGTCCGTCCGTCCCTGTAATTTTCTGGTATATTTACATATTCTATGCCACGTATAATTTTACCTTATAAATCTGTCAAATCTTACTCTATTTTTATGCCCCCCTTCGAAGGAGAGTGGGTATATCACTCTATTGTTTTGCTAATGTCGATCTGTTCATCGGTAGACCAAATGGTTTCCACTGATTATCTTGAAAACTATAATTGGTCTTTACTAGTAGATGACCCCTATTTATTTTGGGATTAGTTCAAAGGTCAAGGTCACAGGGGCCTTTAATGTCAGCATGGTTTCCGCTGATTATCTTGAAAACTGCATCACAAAGTCTTCATATAGTGATTGGTCATAACTAGTAGATGACCCCTATTGATTTGTGGGTCAAAGGTCAAGTTCACAGGGGCCTTCAATGTCAGAATATCTGGTTACTTTTTACCACAAAGTCTTCATATTTCACATATTGATTGATCATAACTTGTAGATTACCCCTATTGATTTTTGGATCACTAGGTCAAAGGTCACAGGGGCCATGAATGGTAGTATGATTTCCGCTTATTATCTTGGATACTATTTATCACAAAGTCTTCATATTTCACATATTGATTGGTCATAACTAGTAGATGACCCCTATTGATTTTTTGGTCACCAGGTCAAGGTAACAGGGTCCTTGAATAGTAGTATGATTTCTTTAAAGCTGATTATCACATAGTCTTTATATTTCACATAGTGATTGGTTATTACTAGTAGATGACCCCTATTGCTTTCAGAGTCACTAGTTCAAAGGTCAAGGTCAAAAATGTCTGGAATGTCAGAATGGTTTCAGCTTGTTATCTCGAAAACTATCACAAAGTCTTCATATTTCACATACTGATGGGTCTTAACTACCAAGTGCCCCCTATTGATTTTGGGGTCAAAGGTCAAGGTCACATTGTCCTTGTATGTTAGTATGGTTTCTGCTCTTTATCTTGAAATCTTTTTATCACAAAGTCTTTCATAACTTTTATTAGGTGACCCCAATTATTTTTGGTCACTAGGTCAAAGGTCAAGGTCACAGGGGCCTAATATCAGAATGGTTTTGGCTCATTATCTTGAAAACTATCTCAAAATCTTCATTATTTTTTCTTTTTTTTCATTACTGAATACTTCCATGTACCCATTTATGGCAATTTTCTATAACAAAATAACCAATTATGTGTGTCAAGGTTTTTTTTTGTCGCCTCCACTGAGTAGTGGTGACATATAGGGATCAATTCTCCGTCGTCCGTCCGTCACAAAAATTGTCCGAACGACTCCTCATAAACTATTGGTGCAATTTCATCCAAACTTTACAGGAATGATCAGTACCAAGTTTAGTTGTGCATATTGTCAACATTTTCCAGTTCAATGATTTTTGTTAGAGTTATGGCCCTTTAATAATTTTTATTTTTAAAGTTCGTCTGGATTACTTCTCTTATACCACTGATGCAATTTCAATGAAACTTTACAGGATTGATCTGTAGCTCAAGTCCTTGCTCATATTGCACGGGTTTTCCTGTTGAATGATTTTTGGCCGAGTTATGGCCCTTTGATAAAAAGGTGTTTTTTTTAAGTGTGTTGCCAGATACACAAAAGCTCGTCCGGACTACTCCTTAAACTACTGGTGCAATTTTATCCAAACTTTACAGGAATGATCAGTACCAAGTCTAGTTGTGCACTGTCCATCCGTCCATTACAAAACTTGTCCGGACTACTCCTCATAAACTACTTGTGCAATTTCATCCAAACTTTACAGGAATGATCAGTACCAAGTCTAGTTGAGCATATTGTCAGCATTTTCCGGGTCAATGATTTTTGTCAGAGTTATGGCCCTATAATAATTTTTATTTTTTTAAGTTTGTCTGGATTACTTCTCTTATACCAATAATGCAATTTCAATGAAAATTAACAGGATTGATCTGTAGCTCAAGTCCCTGTGCATATTGCACAGGTTTTCTGGTTGAATGATTTTTGGCCAAGTGATGGCCCTTTGATGAAAAGGTGTTTTTTTCTGTGTGTTGCTAGATACACAAAAGCTTGTAAGGACTACTCATAAACTATTGGTGCAATTTTATCCAAACTTTACAGGCATGATCAGTACCAAGTCTAGTTGTGCACTGTCTGTCTGTCACAAAACATGTCCCAACATGAAATTTGCCATCATGAGGCGACACATGTGATCACTGATAGCTCTTGTTAGCTCACCAGAGCCGAAGGCTCAGGGTGAGCTATTAGTATCAAAGGGGGATGCTCCGGCGTCCATCGTACATCGTCATGCGTCAACAATCGTCTTCTCCTCTGAAACTACTTGGCAGATTTACTTCAAATTTGGTCTGTAGCATCCTTGTGACAGTCACAATGGAATTTGCTCATGTCATTCCAATTGGCCCATTTTAGGGGTCAGCAGAGCTAAAAATAGAAAAACCTTTAAACATCTTATACAGAACTAATTGATGTATGATCACAAAACTTTGTCTGTAGCATTCTTGGGTAGTCTTTTAACAAGTTTGCTAATATTATTTTGATTGGCCCCTTTTAGGTGCAGCAAAAGCTAAAAATAGAAATACCTTTAAATGTCTAAATTAGGGGTCAGCAGAGCTAAAAATAGAAAAACCTTTAAACATCTTCTACAGAACTAATTGATGTATGATCACAAAACTTTGTCTGTAGCATTCTTGGGTAGTCTTTTAACAAGTTTGCTAATATTATTTTGATTGGCCCCTTTTAGGGGCAGCAAAAGCTAAAAATAGAAATACCTTTAAATGTCTATTTCTACAGAACTTATTGATGGATGATCACCAAACTTTGTCTCGAGCATTCTCAGGTAGTGTTTTATCAAGTTTGCTAATATTAATTTGATTGGCCCCTTGTTGGGGCCACTAAAGCTAAAAAAAGAAATACCGATAAATGTCTATTTCTAGAGAACTTATCAATGGATGATCACCAAGCTTTGTCTGTAGCATTCTTGGGTATTTTTTTTTATATCGTGTTTGCTAATATTATTTTGATTGGCCCCTTTTATGGGCTGCAAAAGCTAAAAATAGAAATACCTTTTAATGTCTATTTCTACAGAACTAATTGATAAATGATTGATCACCAAACTTTGTAGTATTGTTGGGTAGTCTTTGCTCATATTATTTTGATTGGCCCCGTGTAGGGGCCGCTAAAATTAAAAATAGATATATATTTATACGTCCATTGCTACCGAATTAATTGATGGTTGATCACCAATTTTTGTCATTAGCATTTTTTTGTAATCTTTTATCAAGTTTGCTAACATTAATTTGATTGGTCCCTTAAAATTTAGGGGCCGCTAAAGATAAAAATAGAAAAACATTTAAACATCTTCTTCAGAACCAATTGATGGATAATCACCACACTTTGTCTGTAGCATTCTTGGGTACTCTTGTATCAAATTCGCTTATATTAATTTGATTAGCCCCTTTAAGGGGCCACTAAAGCTAAAAATAGAAAAAACAACAACTTTGAACATCATTTCCGACTGAAATAATTGATAGATGATCACCAAACTTTGAGGGGCGTCCGTGGCC